TGTCTGCCGATCGGTGACCTACGCTAGCCCTAGGACTATTCTTTTGTTTTGCCCGCTATATACCTGTTTGCCATTGTTTGACCCTGCCTATTTACCACGTCTCTGTAGCATTGCATCACTACCACGTCTCTTTAATAAAAGCTTGCAGATGGATCCACACGTCTCACATCTCGTCAGCCCCGTCACAAATAGAAAGTTCAAAAGAACAGCATTTATTTGAAACAGAATCCTTTTGTAACATTATAAATCAATAAAATAATAAAAATTACATTTTCACTGGCACTTTGATCAATTTAATTTGTCCTTGCTAAATAAAATGAATTTTTTAACAATAGTGTGTCAGGGATCCGGGTAGAGGGATGAGGCGAGGACTCAGTACTGCAGAAGAATGGGCTATTTATTAAAATAAAACAAAACAAACAACAGAAACTACCCCGTGGGGGAAAAACAGGCTGGCAAGGCAAGGCAAGGCAGGATCTGGACACGCAGCATCCAGGGATAGACGATGACGAACTGACGCACGACTGCAAACACAAGGAGCATAAATGGAGAGCAAATGAGGAGGGTAATGAGGGACCACATGTGGGACAAATTAACTAATAATCAGGTAACAAGATGGGAGGGGTCAAGACAATTGACATGAGCACATGGCACACCGAATCAAAGACAAAAAGCCATGTGCTCACACAAAACAAAACACAAGCACATGGCCAGCAAAACAAAATCACAAGCCATGTGCTAGAACAAGAGACACGAACACGCAGCTAATGAGAAAACTCATAAGCCGCGTGTTCACACAAGACAACAAGAAAAGCACGCGGCTGAACACAAACCGCGTGCTTCACAAAACACAACACACGTGGACAGAAGAGCGCACGGCCGAGCGAACTCGAGACCGCACGCTCCCACAACAGACAGAACATGGAGCGCGAGTGTCCGGACCCCGACACGTAACTGAAACTCAAGACATGAGTGCCGGGATCTGAACACCACGCTCCAACATGAAACAGTACACGCAGACGAGAGCGCACGGCTCGAGCACACTCGAAGCCGCACGCTCAACATGAAAACAATGACATGACGCGAGTGTCAGGGCTCTGTCACAAAACTATGAATTACACTAGACTGAAGTGACAGAACCCTGACATAGTGTGCAGTAACTTCCAGAAGTCACATTTACTTCCACACAAAAGTCTGCAATATAATAGGAGCTTGGATGATGTTCATAATCTTTTATTGTTTTTAAATATATTGTCAAGCCATTCATTCACATGATATTTCAGGAGGAAAACTGTAGCTGTAAGCTTGTTGAAACTGAAACCTGAAAGCAAATTATGGCTATCAAATGAGGTATTCTGAAAATGAAATAAAGGTTGCAGTGTTTGGGAGGAATTAAGTACAAGTAGCGATGCTGAGGCCTAAACTGACTCTTCTAATGATCATTTGTAGGAATCTGGAAGTGTCTGGCAGCGCTGAGATGCTGTATGGATGTCCTCCAGACCGCAGATTCACATTTGAGGTTGTGCGGCGTAACAGACCCATCAGGGAAACACCGATCCGTCCTGGCAACTAGCATTTAATCACAATGTTCTCTGCTATTTACACGTTGGAGCGTTTCATGTAACGTGCAACTCCCTGCCAAATCTGCAAAACCTCAAATCCGATGCACAGTCTGAGGCTTCATGATTAAAGTACAACAAGAGCCAATCGGTTTGAGACAAAGTGCATCTAATGGAAATGCATATCTATGATGCTGAAATACACAACCTTTACAAGCACATAAACCAGCAGTTCAGCTCTGGGTATCTGTGCTATCAATGATCACAGAAAATCAATAATGTTTAGACTGCAGCACTTACAGCTGATTTTCTGGAGGGTTTAAATGTCAAGATGTGAAGCTCATATTGTTGTTAAAGTGGTTATTTTAATTATTTTGTATATAAAATGTGTTATTTGAGCTGTCTAAATTGTATGTCATAGCCTATTTATATACTAATGATAATAAGTCAGCATGGAATGGAAAGGCAAAGTGCCTGTTTAAACAGTTTGAAGTGTAATGCATTTTAATATTTACTGAAAGCGATGCTAACTTTGAAACTCTTAGTGGTTAAAGCATGAAACTCACGGAGGAAGACGCGCATTATTATTATATACTAAAAAATGCTGGGTTGTTTCAACCCAACTTTGGGTCAAATATGGACTAACCCAATGTTTGGGTTAAAAATATAATGTAAAAATTTAACCCAATGGTTGGGTTAGTCCATATTTGACCCAAAGTTGGGTTGAAACAACCCAGCATTTTTTAGAGTGTAATAACAGCTGTACGCTTTATTTAGCGCAAATTTCACTAACGACATCAAAATGAAACGACAGATATTCAAGAAATATGTCTAATGAGAAGGTATAAGCTGCTTATATTCCAATGTTGTTTTGGCTTGTGAAATTAATTGTTTTATAACGTTACAAATGTGCTTGGCTGCTCACAAAAACGGGCCTATTAGAGATAACGGTTGATTCATATCTGATAAGGTGAAATTGTGGAAACTGTTACCTATGCTATTTATAGTTAAGTTGACCAAAGTGGTAACTGGTTTAGAGATTGGTATTGATATAAACATTGATTTGTGAACTAGTCGAATGTGATTCTACGCAAACTATGTTGATTCGTGTTTTATTGCGGGAGCTTTCGCACTCTACTTTTAAACTCTTTTCGGTTCGAGGTTAATTTGTTTTGAATTCAAGCTACTAGCTACGGCATCTTCCACTGCTTATAATAGTTTGGCTGCTTAGTGAAGCTTTGAAACCCTTTTGAATCATTTGTTTTGAACCAGTGATTCGGAGCGCGTATCAAACTGTCGAAGTCAGTTCCAGTGCTTCCAAACAGTGAATCATTTTGCGGTTGATTCATTTGATTCATAAAGATTCGTTTCTCTCATCACTTGTTTATAGCCTACCCTTCTTTCCTTCTTTTACGAGTGTGGCTGACATGCAAATGAGGAAGTATGCAGTTTCCCGGGAAATCCGTCCCGACAGCTTTAAAGTGTTTTATATGAGGAATGTGTTCTTAATCAGGTAGAGAGGATTCTTGGTGATCAAACTCATTTCTTGTATTTACAATATGAACTACTTCCCTCTGGTAGAAGATATAGAATCCCAATGTGTAAGTTAAATCGATATAAGAATTCCTTTGCACCTGTATCGGTGCGGTTGTACAACAAGAGTTCATCTTAATTTTATTTGCATGATTTTATTTAATTTAGTTTTTTATATGTTTATTGTATGTCTGCAGCAACATGTAGTCCATAACAATTTTCCTCTTGAGGACAATAAAGTATACTACTACTACTACTAATGTAAATATTGATAATATTTAAATAAATACTACAAACAGGCGTATTATAGCCTTACAGTTGTGATTTAGTGCAGAAACGCATTTTAGATGATGGTTTTATGATGCATTTGCGTATTATTTACATTTTCTTAATTTAGAGCAAAAAAATGACATAGTGTAGATTTATTAAGCTTTGACTTGCTACTATTGTTTTATTAACCACATTGTGCTCTTGACAAAAGAATAAAGAGACGTATAAGTATGGCAGTAATTACCCACTTGTGGTTTGGCCATCAGTAATAATATTAATCATCTGCAGATAAACAAACAGCGCTCATTCTGTACATTCAACACTGAACCGAGGCCTTCAGCAGCGCTTAGACCGAATCATGTCTCATATTAAAAAAACACTCATGTTGCTCAATAGACATGCCACGGACAGTGTCTTTTCTCAACTATTTCCTGATACGATTCCACTCCTGCCACATCAGACTGAAAAGCTGATCCATGTAAACATTTCTGAGAGTCTCACTGACCGCAGTCCTTTTCCTGGTCTTTCCCTGTCTCCAGTGAAATGATTTGGAGGAGAACTCAAGCCACACAGTTGTTTGTTGCCTGTAAACATGGAATATTATATAGGCCCACTGTGCATGCAATGCAACAGTCCTGCATCCTCAAGTCTTGAGGTCTCTAGATTGTGAGAGCAGCGGATAAAATGATCGGTGTCTCTCTGCCACAGCTACAGGAGAGCGCTGTGTGCGGAGAGCTGGCGGCATCCTGAAGGACTGCACACATCCATTTTATGGACTGTTTACATTGATGCAGTCAGGAAAAAGAACAACTCTGCTGTAGAAAAGCTTTCTTCCAACAGCAATCTGGCCCGCTAAATCAGAGTTTGTGATTTTATTGTAGTTATTTCTTTTTAACACATGCAGAGTATTTTAAACAATTTTACTAGAATATTTATATTTTATTATTTTAAATCATTTTACTGAAATATTTTTTTGTCTTATAATGCACTGAACTGTAAGCTGTGGACGTGTGAAACACAATTTAGTTTCTATGTGACATAGAAATGACAATAAAGTATCTTTCTATATGGCTTGGCTCTGTTTATGTTTTTGAAAGAAGTCTCTCCTGCTCACCAAGGCTGCATATATTGGACCAAAAGTACATTTAAAAATAGTGAAATAATATTAAAATTTCAGATAACTGATTTCTATTTAAATATATTTAAAAATGTAATTTATTCCTGTGATGGAACGCTGAATTAAAAAAAAAACTAAAGGAAGAATGCAGTTTCCTGCCAAATCCGTCCCGACAGCTCTAAAATATAAATAATCATTATAGGCTTACCGTGGCATTTTAGGGTATGGCAAAAACACAGTTTGGATATGCTTTTATAATGTATTTGCTCATTAGTTAAATTTTGAACAGCATTTATTTGAAATAGAAATAATTTGCAACATTATTATACATGTCTGTAATGTCACTTTTGATCAAATTAATGCATGCTCGCTGAATGCCGTCTTTATCAGCAGCACTAGTTTGACTGAAATCGTCATTAAAACAGAGTTATTCGTGTTCCTCAGTGACCATTAAAACACATCTACAACATTAAAGCCAATCTGATATCAACTCATTCAGCTGGATTGAGGAGGTTTATTAGTCACTGTGAACCAGAACTAAGTCTGGCCTGGACAATCCTAGTTAAGATAGTGATGAAGATTCCTGTCGTGAAGATGAAAACTAAAGCGTAGTAGCCGATGTTCACTGCGTAGTGAATGACGGGATTTGTAATCCAGCACCTGTAATTAGAAAATAATGAAATTTAATTAAGAAGAAAATCAGAAGACATGCGTAAATATACATGTACATTTAAATTTGACAAAAATTAAGCGTTAGCATTAGTTCTGGCAGGTAATGTGAGCCAAGCTTTCATCAGCTGATTCTCAGCTGATCACATCTACCTATAGAAATATGACACCTATCGCGGCATTCCTATATAAGCTCTATTCAGTATTATTCAGCAGCTTTTCAGCTTGCTCAGGAGCAAATTACCCTCCTCCATCCCCAGCTCCTCCTTTCGCCACAGTCAGGACTTGGCTTTCTGATATTCCTTGCTAATCAGACTCCTTTATCTTGAATAAAGTGTTACACTTAAATATCATTAAGTACATTAATGATATCTGCCTTGTTCTGTTCTGTTAACCCTAGGGAGGTTATTATTGCTGCTCTCCCTGCTCATTCATGACAGGCTGCATGGATGGGCAGGGAGTTTTTTTGCACAGAACGGAACCAAACGCCAAACCAAACTTTATGCTAAGTATCTATCATTTTGACGATAGTGGTCCTGACAGAACTTACATTAGCGACATTTTTCCAGATGTTGTTTTTAGGATCAGTGTTTTATATTCTCCTGCAGAAGCAATAGCTATGACTATTGGAGCGGGAAACGCTGAAAACACACAGAGACAAGGGTTATTATAGCTAAAAAACTAAACATAAAAACATAAAAAATTAATGAACAAATGAATAAGTAATTTTTGTTACTACTTTAAGGATGCGTTCACACTTGTAGTTCGGTTCTCTTGGTTGGTTTGGTCAAGACCAAAAAAGAAAACGATACATTTGGTAGGGATGGCTGATGCGAAACTGACGTTTCAACACTGTGTCGAAATCTCGAAGTGCAAATGTTTCGAAACACGGCTCTGAAGTGTGAAACACCCATGTCACGTGACTAAGGCAAATCAAAGCATCGGGGCGTTTCACAAGTGTTTCAAGACCCGAATCTGCTCTTGATTGACAGGGTCGGGAACAAACCACAAAATCGCACATCTGTCTTAAGCTAATTCCCACAAAGTATAAAAGTGGAGTTAAAGGCACAATATTTAAGATAAATTTTTTATTAAAATATTCAAAAAACCACTAGAACAGTGTTATATATTTTGCTGACTTGTGTACTTACATTATCCCAAATGTTTCGAAGAATGTTTAAATCCAGAGAAATAAGCAATTTTAACTAGTGACACGGACTGTGTCATAAGGGCCTTTCGCACCGCTTTAGTTCCAGAACTAAATGTACGGTACTAAAGTACTGGGACGATTTTGCGCAAACTATTTCCCAGTACCATTTAAAGGGTTGCATTCGCACCGACAGTGTGTACTAAGAAGTGACGTAAGCCGGTCGACAGCGTCATCATTTGTGTGCGGCGTTCAACAACAGAAACAAAGAAGAACAATGTTAACAACAGGAGGATGGAGGATGCTGTGATCGGAGCTGTTTTTGTTGTGTCTCGCGGGTTTCACAATAATGGACATGGAAAGTCGACGTATACGTAAAGCGATTGAAAGAACGGAAAGGAGGACTCAGAATCTCCAACGACAACTGCCAGTGCTACATTTGCTACAAGTGCCTGCACTTCAGCGTCCGTCCATCTATCGCTGTTCTCCATACTTGCGAAATAAGTTGACACAATGTTTACA